TCTGCCTTCCACCACCAGTGGAAGCTTCCTGAGGCCTCCCGAGAAGCAGAAGCTGGAGTCATGCTCCTTGTACAATCTGCAGAACCATGAGCCAAATAACCTACCGTTTCCAGTATCCTTTACAGCAACGTGAACAGACTGAGTCCTGAGTATCCACTGTACTGAAATGAACCATGGTGGGAGGGGATCGAGGGGAGGGGCGGTCGGACAGGGAGCAGTTTGTCCACAGCAATGTCAAGCCCCAGGATCAACGTGGAATTCCATTACCTTTGGATTTACTGTTATACAAGACAACATCTTTTAATTTAACCTCCATTTAGGTGGGCTTTTTATGAAAGCTCTCCAATTGAGAATTCTCCCAACTTGAGAGCAAAGAGGACAGTCTCGGGGAAACTCCACAGTGGCTTCGGTACCCCACAAAGGTTCTTTCCACGCCCTTCAGGAGGCTGGCGCCTTGTTGAGACTGGGTCTTTATTCCTGAAGAGGAAATCATGGCTACTGCTCTATGATGCTCCTTATAACTGCATCCAGAGTCTGGTTCAAATCTGACTCACCCGTGGGTGTCACCTGGGCTGTAGCCCCTGCCCAGACCACTCCAGCCTGGGGCCCCAGGAGCTCAGGCAGAAACTGCTGAGCGAACACTCCTATTTACCTCCTTGGAACCCTAGGGGAGACGGCAGCTTTTGGAAACAGGATGTATGTTACCTGCAGGCACACACAATGCATAAAATCAAATACATATACATTGTATTAGGAGATTGCTGAGAAATAGGCAAGAACTGCTGAGAAGAGAGTTTTCTCGTCCTTCTGTAGGTTAAGTCCACGAACAGAAGAGTGTGTCAGAGGCGTTTTATTTTTCTGGCTGAACATTTTTGACAATGTGAAGTTATACTGCAGAATCCAATCGCTGAGTTGGGTTGGGTATTTCATCCTGAAAAGCGTTGCAAGCCTGACCCTTTCTGCTCCAGTCAGGATCTCCTGTCATTTCCCGCCCCCAGAGCCTTCCCCAGCATTCACAATGCTCACGCACGGGCCCGCCTGCCAGTCTGTCTTCTTCCTCCTGTGCTATGCCCATCAGGGGGTCTTGCTGCTGTGTCCTGGTGCTGGGACCTCTCAGACGCTGCGCCCTTGCCGGCAACGCTCTCCCTCGCCAAGTCCCAATTCCACAGAACCTTCGAGACATGGCTCCAACAAGGGTGGACCACCCCCTACCTTCACTGCCCCGAGAGCCTGCATTTGGCATGTCCTATTTGTCAACATTTAACATGTTTCCTCCTCACCCTAGGTCTTCTTTGGGACTATCAGCACAACAGTTTTTCAACAAATAGTTACCGAATAAATAAACCTCTCCCTGTTATCAGAGCAGGAACCTCGCATGGGATCCCTAGGGGGGCTCCAGTGGGTGCTACAAAACGATGCTGAGAGTTCCTTTAGTTTTCTCAAATGGCAGCAAATTTTTAGTGTCCCAAATAATAGGGAAAGAAAATGGATTACATGTGGTCTCTAGAAGGTTTCAGACATTCATTTGGGCCAGTCCTGCCAGTGGCCAACCTCCTACCTCACCTCAATCTCAATCAAAATTGCTAAATAATTGGGCCGGGCACAGTGGCTCATGCCTGTAATCCCAGTACTTTGGGAGGCCGAGGTGGGTGGATCACTTCAGGTCAGGAGTTTGAGTCCAGCCTGGGCAACATGGCGAAACCCCGTCTCTACTAAAAATACAAAAAAGTAGCCAGGTGTGGTGGTGGGGGCCTGTAATCCCAGCTACTCAGGAGGCTGAGGTAGGAGAATCACTTGAACCCGGGAGGCAGAGGTTGCAGTGAGCCAAGATCGCACCACTGCACCCCAGCCTGGGTGACAAAGTGAGACTCTGTCTTGAAAAAAAAAAAAATTGCTAAATAATTGGTCAAGGTTATGTTTCCTTGAACCCTTGTGGGGCTGTTCAAATGTAGGTATTTTTGTTTCTGTTGTTGAGATGGGAATCTTGCTTCGTTGCCCAGGCTGGTCTTGAACTCCTGGGCTCAAATGATCCTCCTGCCTCAGCCTCCTGAATAGCTGGGATTACAGGCACACACTACTGTGGCCTGGCTCAGATGTAGGAATTTAAAAGATAAAAGGCTGGGTGCGGTGGCTCACGCCTGTAATCCCAGCATTTTGGGAGGCCGAAGCTGGCAGATCACTTGAGGTCAGGAGTTCAGGACCAGCCTGGCCAACATGGTGAAACCTCATCTCTACTAAAAATTCAAAACATTAGCCAGGCATGGTGGTGAGTGCCTGTAATCCCAGCTACTTGGGAGGCTGAGGCAGGAGAATCGCTGGAGTCACTGAGGTGGAGGTTGCAGTGAGCCGAGATTGCAATATCACACTCCAGCCTAGGCGACAGAGCAAGACTCCATCTCAAAAAAATAAATAAAATAAAAATAAATAAATAAATAGTATCTGAAGAACCTCAGAGAGGCTTGGATGGAACTGGTGAGCCCCAGGTAACGGGTAAACAAGTCTATCAATCTTAACTACTTGAAAAACTGTAAAAATATTTGCCTCCCTGCTATGAAGCACAGGGTCTGGGTTCGAGTGCTAAGGGGCAGGTTCCAGGCAGGTACACAGGAAGGACCTGACCTTGAGCAGGCTAGCAACTTCCGTCACCAGCTTCCCCTGTGGCTGTAAAATGCAAATGTATTTAAGGGCTTGGCTGGGTACCTGGCACATCATAAACACTCCACAAATGATAATGATTACTATTACAAATAAGAATAACCAACCAAAGGGCACAGCAATTAAAGCACATCTGCAAAGGGTGATAAGAAACGGCCACTAAGCAGGAGCTGCAGAAGGCTGACCCCAATCCCAGTCCCCACACCCACCCCACCCAGCCCTCACACACTAGGACAGACTCCGGCCAGCAAAGCGCAGTATCTAGAAAGTATCTTCTCTTTATTTAAGTTAAACAATTTTCAAGGATGGTTTCCATCTATAAAATGGACAAAGTACAAGCTCTGTACAGCAGTTCTTTTTAAAAATCAACTGGAAAAAAAAATTACCAAACTATATTTTGAATTTGCAAAACATACTCACAGATACCATCATCTGAGCTTTTATGAAGACATAAGAAAGGACCACCACAGAGAAGACAACTAACTTCGGCACGCTTTGCTCGAAGGGCCCTTAGGAAAGAATTCTGAGTTTTAAAAACAGGAGTGGGAGGGTGGGATAGTCCCGATGACTAAAAAATAACGCAACCACAGTAAGTCACTTTGGCACACTGTGTCATGTAAACATAGCTCACCGCAAAGGGCCCCTCCCCAGCCCACCTCTGCTCTTGACACCCGGACCATCCAAAGCCGCCCCCCAGCTCAGGGACAGGACGCTGCCCCCAGGGCATGGCCGCACAAGGGCCTGGGTAGACAAATCCGATGACACGAAGGCTGAAAGGACCTGGGGGTGCGGGCAGGGTGAAGGTGTGGGGGCAAAGGATTAATCAAAAAACTTGATTTTAAAACGAGCCAGATTCATCCATTTTTTTTCCCTCCTAACAGCAGTAGCAGCTCGCAGGTGACAGGGTCTGACAAAAGCACCTGGGTGCTGGGGGCTAAGCATGCCCTGCTCTGGCCTGCATTCCACAGCCTCGCACAGGTACCTAAGGGGGTTTTCCTCAGGCTCCCCAAAGAGCTCACTGTGAAAGACAAAAGCGTGTGGAGTTACATCTGGTTGCATGGCAGGGGAGGTGGGAAGAGAAGACCTATAGGGCAGCCCTCCAGCCAGGCTTCCACCTCGGGGCCGCTGTCCTACAGTGCACACCCATGGGGCTCCTGCCGGGGAGGAAGACACACAGTGGCCTCTTTCATACAAGACACAGGGAGGAGCATGGCACCGGCACAACCTCCCAGGGCGGCTTCTAACTTCAAGGCCGCCGCTGTCCCTCCGAGGGGCCTGCAGGTGTGACTATCGGATGCTTTTCTCAAACTGCCAGGCCGTGCCAGCCTCTCTGAGACTGAGCATCTGTGTGTGCGGTGCTGGAGAAGGTGGCCGGGAGTGGAGGAGGAAGCAGGGCACCAACCACAGAGTGGCGGGGTGACGAGGAACATTCCTGAGCACCCAGGCAGACTCCAGGCACCTCTCCCTGTTACGACTTTTGGTTCATAACTGTCTGTGGTTTAACAGGACCCCAAGGCTCTTGTCTCCTGCCCTGAATCCTCAGTGTAAATGAGCAGGTATTGTTTGGTTCTGACCCTTCCTAATTCTTTCCCCAAAGCCCCCTGAAGCAGTCACGTGGGCCAGGTGGGGTGTGGGAGGGGGCTGCGGGCGGGGCAGGACTCGCTGCCTGGCTGGAGCTCCCCAGGCCCGCAGGTGTGCAGGACTGTGAGCCAGGCCTGTGCCCAGGCTGAGAGGCTCATCCCTGACACTGCTGGCCATTAATTCTGAAGGCCCAGCATGCAGGGCTGAGATCACAATGAGGCCAATGCTAGTGTGTGACAGCTGCCTGGCATCATTGGTCTGCCCTGTCGCCAGGGGGCAGCGGTATCGCTGGCTCACATTGGGAGCTATGGGGTGTTGTTTATATTCCTTAGAGAAAAGAAATTTAATGTAAAAAGACCCAAAGTGATATCTGTCAAAATAAGTAACCCCTCCAGGTTCACAGATACACACAGCACACAAAGTGGATTCTGACGCACAGTAGTGACTCTCAGGCTGACTGACGCCCAACAGGGATGCCGGGGCCGAGGCCGGTGGTGTGGAGGAAGCCCCCCCAGCTGGCCACAGCAGTAGCACCAACTGGCTGATCAGGCTCCAGGGGACAAAGGCCACTTCCTCCCTCCGTGAGAACCTGGCCCCACCGGCCTCTGGCCCCTTCTCCCGGAAGCTGCGAATGGCTTTGTGGGGAATTTACAAGATGATGATGACCTACAGAAACCATAGGGAACTGACCGTACATTCTTTCTACAGAAACCATAGGGAACTGACCATACATTCTTCCTACAGAAACCATAGGGAACTCACCGTACATTCTTTCTCTATATAGCTTTATATTTAGCGTCCCACTTTAGAAAACTTCATCCTCAGAGATAGCAAGTACATCAGGTGGAAGGGAGTCTGGACCAGGAAGACACTCGGGAACGGAGGAGCAGAGAGAGGGGCTATCGACGTAAACCTGCCACGTGACACGACTCGGCTTTGTGGAAACCATACGTGATTTCGATGGGATCGAAAATGGAGATTTCAAGAGTTCTCCTCGCTCCCCTGGGCGTGTGTGCCCCCTCCTCCCGCCCTGCCCTCAGCTCGCATGCGTCTGTTCAGTTGCTGCGTCTACCACTCCCCGGTCGGCTGTTGCTGGATGTCACTCAGTTGCGGAGCCGGTGGAAGTGAAAGCTGGAAGGAAGAGGGGCGCTCCGGCCTGGGGAAGGGGGCCCAGCTGGGCTGCACCGAGAGGAGGGGGAGGGCAGTTCTCGCTTCTTGCCGCTGTTGTGTCTGCACAGTCGTCCGTGCCTTGCCGAAGTTCGACTTTCAGACCATGATGGAATACTGAGGTATATTAGTTTCGCGGAAAGTTTAAGAAACATAATCAATAATGTGATCACCAGACTCCACCCGATGGTGCAGGAGACAGGACGGCAGGGCCTCCCGGGCCCTCCTACTGCTGCAGGTTGAGCGAGAACTTCCACTGCTGCGAGAGGGCTGGGCCGCACACCTCCACGCTCAGGCCCCCGCTCTTGGCCGTGCGACTGTCCAGGCACAGGTTGCTGCCCACGTGCCTCAGCTTGGAGTTGCCCTCGATCTGTTCCCATTTCTGTAAGACACAGGAGAATGCCTTAGAGTGTGGCCCCAAGCAAAGGAGTACAAACAGATCCACGTGAATTCAGGGCCTTGTGCTGCTGCTGGGGGCCCAGGAAGGAAACGTATTCTCTGCCTTGGATCAAAACTCAGAACCTCTCTTGCCCCAACCTTTCTGTGGGTGTCCCCTCCTCTGAGCCCCAGCACTCTGGGCACCCACCCCTTCGTCATTAACACAAGGATTTGATGTAGGGGAATTTGCATGCCTTCATAAGAAAGCTTGATCCAGTGATGGTTCACCCCAAGAAGAGATCCACACAAAGCAGAGCTGGCTCCTCCCCTGGCTGCTGGGAAGCAGCCCTACCTGGAGGCCTTAGTCTGGGCACCTCCATGCTCCCACTTAGGGCTTTCTGCTCGGGGCAGCCACAGGAACCATGTCAGGCCAAATGTCAGGAAGAGAGATGCTTGTGTGAACAGAACATAGGGTTGAGAAGCCTATTTCTATGCGGTCTGTTCTCTACTGGTTTGTATATGTGGTGTGCAAGCTCCTTGGTGGATATGAGAAACTTGTCTCTGCTACCCTTGAGGCCCCTGGTGCTCTGTATGGCGGAGACCAGTGTTTGCTGAGTTCTGAACATGCCGCTTGTAAAGTATAGGGTACGATGCCTCTTTACTAACACTCAAATCAAGCAAACAACCAAACTCAACCCACGCACCCGTTACCCACCAACCAAGCCAGAAATCAAAGCACACAACCCAGCCTGAAGGAAATCTGAGGAGCCCTGTTTATAGCAAGTAACATATATACCCCTTTCAGCCTGAGTGCGGGCAGCTCACACCAGTAATCCCAGCACTTTGGGAGGGAGGCTGAGGCAGGAAGATAGCATGAGGTCAGGAGTTCAAGACCAGCCCCGGCAACATAGCAAGAATTCATCTTTACAAACATTTTTTTAAAAAATTAGCAGGGCATGGTGGTGCCTGCCTGTTGTCCTAGCTCCTTGCAGGCTGAGGTGGGAGGATCGCTTGAGCACAGGAGTTTGAGGCTGCAGTGAGCTACGGTCATACCCACCCCTGCACTCCAGTCTCAAGCAACAGAGTGAGATCCTGTCTCTTAAAAAAGAAAAGAAAGGAAAAATCCCCATTTAAAAATCTCTAATGTTTGTTCTTAAAAAACAAAAAGTAACCATTTTTTTCCTCCTCAAAGCTCTTGTTTCAAATAATGAAGTCTGTGGTTCTAATTAATTTTTTATACTGTGTGCACTAAAGCTCCTTCACCTAAGTATTTTTTGCAAATCCTTTTGACATTGCAGAATTAAATTTTCTCACTCTTGCCACCCTTTCCTCTTTGACTCTGCAAATATGCACATAATACGAAAACATGGACGTGCCTGGAAACCAAATATTCCAACTGCAAAGCCAGTTCAGCTCCAAGATAAAATTTGTAAGGAGCTTCCTCTCGAGGGGCCAGTGAGTGAGGCAGGGAAGAGCCGGTGCAAGCAGAGGAGCCCAGTGCTGGGGACCCGACCTGCGTGAAACACCACAAGGATGTTGTCACCTGGACCCTGCCTTCCTTATTTCCATCCACCTGCTCACCTGGAGTTCTTGCCAACAGGGAAAGACAGTGCAATCAGAGGAGCCAGGGGAGGATTTTGCTAAGTGCCCATCATTTCCTCTTTCATTTCCCGCTCCCTCGTTTCTGTCAATCACCCCTCATGCTGTTTCTCTCCATTATCATGTAAAGTGTGTATTGAGGCTGCCCTGTCACTCTGAGAGGCCAGGAATCTTCTCAACAAAGAATTGGGAATGAACGGAATCTGATTCTGGCCACTGGAGGGACTGCCTGTCATGTGTCAAAGCATCAGCTAAATGAAGAACCGTAGAAAAACAATAACCGAACCCCAGCTCCGTCTCGCACAGGTGGCCTTGTCGGCTCTGATGTCTGTCTGATGGGACTGTGGTGGCGGGGGTGCAGCACAGATTTTCAAGGCAGCCAGACCCTACTGAAATGGCCCCCACATCCTCTATAATAGCCTGAGTCTTGGGGTTGAAAACCTAACAGATCCCCATTTAGACACGCCATACATCCAGAAAAACCTCTTATTGATAGGTCTTCTCATGCTTCACGAAGGTCCTAAGGCATGTCAGTTATGGTTCCCCAAAACTGGGACTGAAGCAGAAACACCTGTCAGTTCTTGAAATTAAGCAATATTGAAGTAACCATTTGTTTTTTAAAAAGGTGTCATAAAGTCATCACTTTATCAATCCGTTACATCCAGACAGCTCTGCTCCGTTACATCCCAGGGGAATGTGTTTGAGACTCACCCAGTACTTGGCTCAGCAGATGGCAGCCTTGCCCTCAAGGAGCTTCCTCTTGAGGGGCCAGTGAGGGAGGCAGTTTCTAGGTGGTTTGGGTCCAAGCAATGGTAGCCTTCTCTTGTTTAACAGGCACTCCCTTACACATTTTGGTATCAAGTCATCAATACAGATGGACATTTAGAGATGTGGATTATGACCAGAACCTTACAGAGGGGCTCCTGCTGCCAGGAATCTGGGACTCCACAGAGCAGGGAAGGAGGAGCACCCAGAGCTGGCGCAGGGGTTTGGAGACAGACAGGTGAAAGAGGGCCCTCTGCAAGCATCTCCCTGACAACTGGGGTCTGAACAGGGGACTCGGTCCTGGCCTGGTCTTCCCAGATGACTCTAGGTTGGAGGCAATGACTTTCTGAGCCTCAGCTTTCTGTGCTGTGAAATTAGGGTTGGACTAGGGTTAGCCTGAGTCTTGGGGTTGAAATATATACGTGTATATATATACGTATATATATACACACTTGGCTCCAGTAGGCTCCGAGCCTCAGTTTCCCTACATCCCATCTATCTCTAAGGACCAACTGTAAGAACAGGGGCAGGCATTCCAAGTATGGGCATGCTAGGACGACCTTTTGTGCTTGCATTCCTATTCTTAACACTGTTACCCCATGCCTTGAGAAAGCATGTGCCCACAAGCTGCCACAAGGGAATATGTCAGAGAAAACCAGCTTAGAAGGCAGGTAGAAAGTCTATTCTGAAATGTTTAAAGAAACTGTGTTTATATGTGTGTGTGTATGTGTATATATGTGTATACATGTGGTGTGTATATATGTATATACATGTGGTGTGTATATATGTATATGTGATGTGTATATATACGTATATATCGGTGGTGCTATGTATATGTATATATGTGGTATGTATATATGTAAATCTGTGGTGTTATGTACATATATGTGGCATGTGTATATATGTGGCATGTATGTATATATGGCGTGTATATATGTGTATATGTGGTGTGTGTATATATGTATACTGCATGTATGTATGTATATATATGTGGCGTGTATATATATGTGGTGTGTGTATATATGTATATGTGGTGTTTGTATATGTATATATATGTGGCATGTATATGTATATATGTGGCATGTGTATATATGTATATGTGGCATGTATATGTGTAGTTTATATGTGTATGCATGTGGCATGTATATATGTCTATATGTGGCATATATGTGTATATATGTGGCATGTATATATGTATACATATGTGGCATGTATATGTGGTTTGTACATATGTATATATATGTGGCGTGTAGATATATGTGGTGTGTGTATATAGGTGTATGTGGTGCTTGTATATATGTATATATGTGGCATGCATATGTATATATGTGGCGTGTATATATGTATACGTGGCATGTATATATGTGTGTTTATATGTATATATGTGGCATGTATGTATGTGGCGTATATATGTATATATGTGGTGTGTATGTGTATATATGTATATATGGTGTGTATATATGCATATATATGTGGCGTGTATATATGTGGCATGTATATATGTGGCGTGTATATATGTGTGTACGTGTATATATGTATATATATGTGGTGTGCATGTATGTGTATATGTGGTATCTATATATGTATATATGTGGCATGTATATGTGTATCTATATGTGGTATGTGTATATATGTGTGTATATATATGCACACACATATACAGACACACACACACTTGCATTATGTATCAAGTACCATCCATCTGAACATTAATCATTTAGAATTTCTGTAAATTTAAATAGAAAAAAGTATTTGATGATTAAACAAAAATAGACAATTTCTCTTTAAAATTTTCAGTGGCATAGGGAAGAGAATGAGAATATAATCAGAAATAAGCAACAGTAGGCTTGTGGCTTAAGTCCAATAGGGTGGCTAGACATTATTTATAGTGATGCAAAAGAACACCTAAATACACGCAGAGATGGATGCTTCGTGAGGCTGCGCAGAGCAAGAGGGCGCAGGCCGTGGCTGCCCTGGTCTGGGTTAATCATGGGCACCCACAGGTGCCTGCAAGCCGTACCTGTCTGCTGTCATTTTCTCGGCAGCCCTGCAGCTTTATAAGAGAGCCCGGTGCCCGGTCCACCACAGTAAGGCACAAATCCATGTGCTTCACCGACTTCTCCTTCGTCAAGGCCCATTCCTGGAACACAAAACCAGAAGTCAGAGGCGTGCTATGCACAGGGCTGTGAAAGGAAAGAAGGGGCACCAATGAGGGCTCCAAAAGGAAAGGGGTCAGGATGCGGAGCTTAGATTCAGAACCCCTGAGCCACCTGAGAACGAAAGAATTACTTTTTGCTAACGGCAAATTTATAACACCAGAGGTGTGGGAGAACCTCACAATTGAGCAGTCAGATGGCTGAGTGATGTGCAGAACTGCTTTGAGGATCTCAGTAACTAAAATAAAACTATTAACTATTTTAGTCCCAAATACAAGTTAGACTGCCTTGTTCATTTTTCTATAATTCAGTGCGAATTGTAAAAACTGTGGCACAAGCTTGGTTATACACCAGGTAGACACTCGGCAACTGGTCCACCCATGCTGTTTTGGGATGACTGCCCTCATGCAGGTATGGCCTGCAAACAGCACTGATGAATGTGGACTCTAGTAAATAACACGTTGCATACCGAAGCAAAATATATCATGTATAGCCTCCTAAGTGAATGCTAATTGATCTATGGATACTCATGAAGCCCTCTGAAAACGGGAGGAATAGATCTATGCATTTCTCCGCACACATTACAGCTAAATTTAATCAGGTGCTATGTGCCAGGCATTATTTTAAGCCCTTTATACAACAGCTCCATGAGGGCTACTATTATTCTCATTTTATAGATGAGAAAACTGAGCTAGAGAGTGTTTAAATCACAAGCCCATGATGTTAACAAACAGAAACACATATATACGTATAAACACACACAAGTTATAGGCTGCGACAGGGTGAGAGGACAACCATTTTGGATACTAAACAAGACATGGTCCCAGGCGGCAGAGGAGGCCAGAACCTGTTCCGGGCAGGGCCACAGCAGGGACTGGGCTTCTGACCATCACTCTCCACTTGTCCCACTCAAAGGGATGAACACCCCTTAATATCCAGAGGCAGCAAGGCCTTTTCCAGCTTAAAACCCCACAGGGACTCACTATCCGCTTCCATCCCCTTCCACTCTAAGCCCCGGCACGCTGCGGTGGCCCTCCCCTCCCTCCGTCTGCCTGTCTTTCCGTCGGTCTGTCCCATGACCACCTGCTGCACACCTGCATGACACAGGTGCTGTCACACAGCCAGGCTCACTTTCTAGTGGGGAAAATGAAAGACACACAAATAAATGTATTCTGTAACTATTATGTGCTATGAAGACACTGTTTTTCTTTTTTCTTGGTTCTTGGAAACAGAGTAAGGAAAGGAACAAATAGTGTTTAAAGAAGCCTCACTGCCTAGTACCTACATCATGTTGGAACCAATAGTCCATCATTAGAAAAACATCAAAAGCTGACGATTCAGCCGGGTGCGGTGACTCAGGCCTATAATCCCAGCACTTTGGGAGCCAAGGCGGGAGAACTGCTTGAGGCCAGGAGTTCGAGAGCCTAGGCAACATGGCGAGACCTTGTTTGTACTAAAAATAAAAAATAAGTTGACCGGGTGTGGTAGTGTACATCTGTGGTCCCAGCTACTTGGGAGGCAGAGGTGGAAGGATCGCTTGAACCTGGGAGGCTGAGGCTGAGGCTGCAGTGAACCGTGATTGTGCCACTGCATTCTGGCCTGGATGACAGACCGAGACCCTGTCACAAAACCAAACCAAACCAAACCAAACCCTAAAGAGTCCAGCATTCAGACCTTACATAACCAGTGGCGGGGTGCGCCATCTCCAGCCCTCAGCATCAGCAGAGGGGATGCAGAGGCACGGATGCCCATCTAGGAAGCAGTGAAGAGACCTTCACCTGTCTGAAGACTTCCTTCTCCCCTAACAGGGAGGGAGGCTTGGGCAAGCCCGCTCACTTCCCAGGTCTTCCATTTTCTCACCTCTTAATTTGTGTTCCTCACATTCTACTCCATGAGGAATTCTAGGAAAAACGGATTCTAGGTCAAATAAATTTGGGAAACAGATGTTGTGCTGCATTTATCCCTTGGAAATTCAGTCTATTAAAGGCTCTGAAGTGTCCTAGAGTAGAAGCACCTGCTTGGCCTGTGCATTGTGGCATCCCAAACACGGTGTGTTGGGAGCCCTGACCCACCCACTCCTGCCAGCCGCATTCTTTGGGGAAGGCCACCTGACTTTGAGTCGAATCCCAACATTCTATGATGTTGTCATTCAACATGGGTGAGTTCCAGCCAGCTCTTCTGAGCACCCACAGGCACTCCACATCACCCATACTCTAGGACAGTATGACACCATAAACATAATTATTTGGTCTCTGCCCCTGGTTTCTGGCACAATCACAAGGCTCCTAAAACGCTTGCCATTTCCTGAGCCACAGGGGTTTTAAGACCATCTTTCATTCTAGTGTTTGGTCTTTGACTCCGGTTCCTGACAGACAGCTCCTAATCCCTTGGAATTTCTTGGGTGATGGGAGTGTCTTTTGTTCTAATGAAGCAACTCTAATGGGCTCCTGGATGGGGCTGGTCACCAGAAAGACCAGGTTATGCTGAGAAGCTTGAAACTGTCAGTCCCCCACCACCCCATCCTCTGGGAAGGGGAGAGGAGCTGGAGATCATGCCCACGTGATGAGGCCTCCGTCAAAGTCCCTGCACTCCGGGATGTGGCTGCCGGACACGCGGAGGCACTGGAAGAGCAGCACACCTGGAGAGGGCACACCTGGAGAGGGCACAACTGGAGAGGGCATGGAAGCTCCGACACCCCAGCTCCACACCGTGTGCTATGCATCTCTCCCATCCAGCTGCTCCTGGGTTTCAGTCTTCCCTAATAAACAGGTAAACCAGGAAGTAAACCATTTCCCTGAGTTCTATGAACTGTTCTTGCAAATGAATGAATTCAAGGTGAGGTTGTGGGAGCCCTTGAGTTAGAGTCAGACAGCAGGTGACAACTTGGACTTGTGACTGGCATCTGAAGTAGGAGCATCTTGTGGGAGGAAGCCTTTAACCCATGGGGTCTGTGCTAACTCTGGGTAGGCAGTGTCAGAACTGAATTGACAGGTAGGACACTCAGTGTCTGCAGAGAATTGGAGAATTGCTTGGTGTGGGGGGAAAAGCCCATATGGCTGGTGTCAGAGGTGAGAAGTTTGGTGAGAGTATAAAGGAGGAAAAGCAGCTTGTTTTTTTCCTATTCACTGGGTCACAGAGTATGGAAGGCGTGGAGTGTAGAGAGGAAGCCGTGGGTATTTCCCGTATGCAGATGGCGTTCAGGATGGAGAGGGCCAGAAAGAAGCACATTGTTCTGTCCCTGCACTCACAGGTGCCAGGGACACCACCAGGACATGTGAAACTGTGGCACATAGAGACGCCCACTCATGATGAAGAGGAGAGTCCTGAGTAAGGGGGACAACGCTGGTATGGAGAAGGGTTCCAGACTGTCCTTGGCAGCAGGTGTTGGCAGATGCTGGATGGTCTGCTGACACTCAGTTAAAGATCATGTCTGAATGTTTCTCTAACCTCCTTGCTATTGTGTGCTTAATTACTGTAAAGCAGACTTTACACAGGATTCCAGAAAAACTAATTCAGCTGGGCAAACAACAGAGCTAGTTGCCGTTTTGTTCTTCTGTTGCATTTCAATTATCTGAATTTGTAAAATAAAGTTCATAAATATTTAAGAAATGCTTTTTTGAGCTGCCACTCTTAAAAGGCATGGCCATTCATTTTCTCATTTCCTGTGTGTCTGCCAAGGTTCAGCAGGAAACCAGATAACAAACCTCACTCTTCCAAAGCACCAGGCCCTATTTTCAGTTGGGCAATATTACTTACCCTCTCGTTTCTCATCCGTGTCACATGCTATGCAAAAAAGCATCACTTTCTGTCAGTTCAGAGAGGACTCACGCACAGTGGGTTTGTGAGCTGGAACATCTGAGCCACACTGTCTAATGTGCTAGCTACAGGGCACACGGGGCCATTTACATTTAAATTCACCAGAATGAAATGAAATTAAACTTGTAATTCACACTAGTCATATTTCAAGTGCCCAGTTGCCACAATGTGGCTGATATACTGAATGGCAGATCTGGAGCATCCCCCTCATAGCACATGGTTCTACTGGAAAGCACTGATTAGACAGTAGCCCAGGGAGTAAGGTGCTCCCAAGCTGAGGCTGTAACATGCACCAACATGCATCATGTCATCCTGCCGTCTCACGTCACATTGTACCTGCTGATGTGTTCATCTTTCCACTAGAAAACCCCTGCTCCTCAACTCCCATTTTTAAAAATTTTTATTTATTTATCTTTTTGAGACAGAATCTCACACCATCACCCAGGCTGGAGTGTAGTGGTGCAATCTCGGCTCACTGCAACCTCCACCTCCCTGGTTCAAGCGATTCTCCTGCCTCAGCTTCCCAAGTAGCTGGGATTACAGGTGCCCACCACCATGCCCAGCCAATCTTTTGTATTTTTAGTACAGACAGAGTTTCACCATGTTGACCAGGCTGGTCTCGAACTCCAGACCTCATGATTTGCCCATCTCGGCCTCCCAAAGTGCTGGGATTACAGGCATAAGCCACTGTGCCTGGCCCTAATTTATATTATTTTAGAAACACGGTCTCACTCTGCCGTTCAGGCTGGAGTGCAGTAGTGCAATCACAGCTCACTACAGCCTCGACCTCCGGGGCTTTAGCAATCCTCCTGTCTCAGCATCCTGAGTAGCTTGGACTACAGGTACAGGCCATCACACCTGGCTAATTTTTTTTTTGGTAAAGACGGAGCTTCCCTATGTTGTCCAGCCTGGTCTTGAACTCCTGGCCTCAAGCAATCCTCCTGCCTTGGCCTCTTAAAGTGCTGAAATTACAGGTGTGTGCCACTGCACCAGGCCAAATCCTCATTTAGAATCACTTGGTAGCTCTTAAAGATCTGGTGGTGCCCTCTGACCCTAGACAAATTAGATCAGGCTCTCTGGGCACAGCAACTGGCATCAGCATTTAGTAAAAGTTCTCTGGGCAGGCTGGGTGTGGTGGCTCACGCCTGTAACCCCAGCATTCTGGGAGGTCG